TTTTTTCTTTTTTAATTATGCATTTCTGCAGCATCAATCATAGCAAAGTACACAGGATGTATGTTAAGTATGCCGAATAATGCCTGCCTGTTTAAAAGAAGAGAGGGGAGGACAGGCAGAGGCAGCCAGTGTGGTCCCCTGGCTCACATGCTGGACTTTGACCCGGGTTCAAATATTACTTAAGATGGAAACTCAATGGGTGGCCTTGGAGGAGCCCTTATTTCTCAACCTCAGTTCCCAGTCCGAAAAATGGGAATAATAATAACTCAAAGGAGCTGCTGCAGAAAGAAATTATGGTCTGTATCATTTTAGAAAGTGCACTTAGAATAAAGTAGATTAGCATTCTGTCAGGGAAGTTTTTAGGAAAAACCTAGACAAACTCTAGGGGCAATAGTGAGCTTTGTACTCAGTAGTGACTGACTTCTTCCGTTGCCTCAAATATTGTTAAATAAAAGATTATCACCACCAGTCTTCTCCCTTGTAGTATCTAATCATGATCAATTTACAGTAAAATCTGGAGCTATTTCTTAGGGCCTGCTGATACATTATGGCTTGAGCTAGGAAATGTTTTCTGTGTGACATCTGAAATGATTGCTTTCTCCCTATTTTTCTCTCAAATACCTCCCCCCAGTTTGCCCAAGGACAACCTAAATATGAAAAGCTCTGTCACACACCCACATAACTTTAGCATGGTAGTATCCAGAACATTCAAAAGCACTCTTAAGTGCAAGTAGATAAATAGGGACCGCTTTATAGCGGGAAGGTAAACGGCGTTTCCGTGTGCTGCGCTGGTGCTGGCTCGCCAGAGCAGCTTCATCACGCTGGCAACGTGACCCGGAAGTGTCTTTGGACGGCGCCGGCTCATGGCCTCTAGAGCGAGATGAGCACGCAACCCTAGAGTCGGACACGACTGGCCCGTATGGGCAGGGGTACCTTTACCTTTTTATCCAGAACATTTGCCGATGGGAAAGGGAAAAAACACATGCCCAATTTCTTCCTCACCCCTACAGCACCGAGATTACATTTTGGATGTGACCTACATTAGGTTATCTAAGAGAAAACCTAGGGGAAAGTATAGACACACACACAAGCATTCCTTCAACAGAAAGACTTGGACACAGCTTACCTTCCCACAAGTAATAAAAGGGAAATGCTTTGGAAATTATGGTGAGAGGTTCATGAGCAAGCTTTTATGACCCGCCATACTATGCTGTATTCCACAGCCATGCACAGGGGCTCCAGCAGGGACTGCAAAAACAAACAAACAGGATGATGTTCATCAGGCAACAGACAGGTAGCATGGCCATGTATCCTGCCGCACAGAGGGAAGAGGTGAAGGTGTCCTTTATTTGAGGGCTATCCAAGCTAAGTTTGGTTTGATGATAATGAACCACAGAAAGGAAAAGCAAGGGCCTTGAAGTTGCCCATCAACAACACCTAGGCAGCTGACTCCTCTCCAAATGCATACTGGTATGTTTGAAAGGGTATGTGAAAGGTCAGGGTAGCCAATCACAGACAGATCTGCAAATTCATGTGTATGTGTGCGTGCATGCATGTGCTTGACAAATTCCAGAGGGGCCATCCTGTTAGGCTGCAATAGATTGTAATGAATTGGGGGGGGGGATCACCCCCTAACTGCCCTGCCCTGCTCTCTCCTGTATTTTGCCAGAACAAAGGTGGCAACCTTACTATGGCAAGATGCATAGGATTTCTATTCAAGTTATAGTTAGTATTCAAAATGTGTGTCTATAGATATAAATTACCATGTGGAAACTGTATGGAAATTGCTGTCCTCTTTTTTGGTGATGCAAAACCTTTTTTTTAGGCATAGGAGCCAACTCCTAGGGGCTGAGGGGACTTCACACACATCAATAAAATATTTGAAGGTGCTGGGGGCCCCCAAAGTTGATGGGCATTGCCATTCAAATGTGATTGATTATGCAGGCTTACCTGCCTCACCCAATCTTTTATTCAAGTTGGCACCCCTGTTTTCAGGAATGTGTAACTGTACATTAAACTGCCAGACCATAATCAAAGCTGGATCTGGAAGGTGGCAAGTTCAAATATTTGCCAGGGGACCAAGGGAAATAAGAATCCACCACTTAAGCTGTTCCACCATCCACAGTTTTCATAGAGCAGCTACGAAAATGAGAGGCAACATGAGAATTCCCAGGACCAAATCAGACATTACTTTACTAGCAGGATTAAATAGCATGATTAAAGGTAAAGGTAAAGGGACCCCTGACCATTAGGTCCAGTCGTGACCGACTCTGGGGTTGCGGCACTCATCTCGCTTTATTGGCCGAGGGAGCCGGTGTACAGCTTCCGGGTCATGTGGCCAGCATGACTAAGCCGCTTCTGGCGAACCAGGGCAGCACACGGAAACACCATTTGCCTTCCCGCTGGAGTGGTACCTATTTATCTACTTGCACTTTGACGTGCTTTCAAACTGCTAGGTTAGCAGGAGCAGGGACCGAGCAACAGGAGCTCACCCCGTCGCAGGGATTCGAACTGCCGACCTTCCGATCGGCAATCCCATGAGACTCAGTGGTTTAGACCACAGCGCCACCCGCGTCCCTGATTATGATTATGATTAATAGCATCCTAATTGCATGATTTAATAGCAATACAAGTAATGCCTTGTTTGGCCCTCAGTTTGTGTCCCCCCAGGGTTTAAATAGCTCAGCTGGGCTAAGCCCCCACATCTGATCTCCAGTGGGCTAATGTTGTGATAAGTGACTCTTACTTTTTCATATTCCCATGGCAGCATCCTGAGCTCTGCTCCATCCATGCATTGCTATTGCATACCCAGAGGCTATGAACAAACCACCAAAATGACATTCGTGGGTCCTTCCTATAGTTCTGCATTTATATTTTACTGATAAAGCAAGATCTGTATCTAGTCCCCCTAGAATGGCAGCACTTCAGAATAACAGTGAAGTATTCATGTTTCAATAACACGCCCCTGCCATGTAGAAAATACCCTATATATTGGAAAACTCCAGTTTCAGACTTGTTTAGAATCCTTCTCATGTTATTTTTCAATGACAGTGAATTGGAAGAGAGGCATTCAGTCCTGTGATGACTCATGCATTCTGAAGTGGTAAGCTTTCAAAAACTGAATTGTATGGTGTGTGTTTTCCAAAATTTGTAGTAAATTTGTCCTTTCTTTTAAATAAAGTAAGGGAGAGGAGCCAGATAAATGCCATGTAAACTGACCTGAAACTTTGGCAGATGATGGGTAGTTAGAGAAGTAAGAATGCGGCGATTTCTGACTTGATTTCTATCAGCACTGTTTCCACTCCACTGCAGTTCAGTTTCTGCCTAATGTTTCCCCCTCTATTGTTGGAGATGTGTTGAAGGAACAGATTCACCTCCAACGTACCCCTGCCCCTTAAGTGCCCCCCTTCTCTCCCTGCAACTGACAGAGGGGAGAGCAGCCACAGAGATTTTGCACCTTCATTGAAGAGGTTCTCCAGGCGTAGGCCTTTTCTCTGTCCATGGACCTCCTTCTACACCTACAAAGACAGATGTCCAGAGCTACCTATGGCTGCTACTGTTTGTTCCCTCATTCCACAGTGTATTTTTCTAAAATAATAATAACAATAAAGGTGAGGTTAAACCACAGAGCCTAGGACTTGCCGATCAGAAGGTCGGCGGTTTGAATCCCCGTGACGGGGTAAGCTCTCGTTGCTCGGTCCCTTCTCCTGCCAACCTATAGTTCGAAAGCACGAAGTGCAAGTAGATAAATAGGTACTGCTCCAGCGGGAAGGTAAACAGCGTTTCCGTGCGCTGCTCTGGTTCGCCAGAAGCGGCTTAGTTATGCTGGCCACATGACCCGGAAGCTGTACGCCGGCTCCCTCGGCCAATAAAGCGAGATGAGCACCGCAACCCCAGAGTTGGCCTCAACTGGACCTAATGGTCAGGGTTACCTTTACCTTTACAGAATGTGGCAGGGCCTGGTTTAAAGCAGACATGGTATGTGATGATCCCACTGGTGAATTTAAAGCTAGCTTCAGTGATTGTAGTTAACTTTTTATCAGTCAGCACCATCCAGATTCAGACAAACAAACAGTGAAGGCAGCGCCCTTATGAGCAGTTTCTGGATGTTATGACAACACATTGGGATTTAATGGCAGAGTTTATTACACAATACATACACAGGGTATCACCCCTGAATCAGTTAATTTAATCATTACTCTCCTCCTAGTGCTCCAATATTTCGTCTTTCATAAGTATTTTTGTAATAAATATTTGTATTAACCTTTATATTACTGTTATTTCTGATAGCAAATTGTTCTTTCTCCCCTTGAGATTGTTTATCTGATAAGCCGTCTGTACATCTTTGCCACATGCGATAAGCCGAACAGCCAGAAGCAAGTCTGAATAGTTTTTCAAACTGCACTATGTTTTTATTTATGTATTCGTTGATGAGTGAATAGATTTGCTAGCAGACTATTTAGAATGGTGAAGTTGCCATTAAAAGTTGCCTGCAACATTTAGAAACTGTGCCACAATATGATTAGTGAGATCATGGGGATAGGAGGATACAAATTTTGGGCAGGTAGCTGTGTTAGTCTGATGCAGCAGAGTCTTCTGCCACCTTAAAACTGCCTTATCCAATCTGGCACCCTCCATACATTTTGGACTACAATAGTCTTCACTCCTGACCATTGACCATGATGACTGACACTGATGTTCAAAACATCTGGAGAGCACGAGGTTGAGAAAAGCTGCCTTCAAAACTAGCATATTCATCATGGCCCACATTTTTGTGCATCTGACTAAGTGGCTTTTGTTGTTCAAAAGCTAATCTACCCTAAACATGTTAGTCTTCACCAGATTCTTGTATTCCTCTTGGCCTTCCACCACCCACACATTTTTCTATGGTGAAATCCTCTGGAATTGAGCTTCAGGCTTCTGCTGAACTCTACTTGAACATACCTCAAGCAAGCTGCCCACCTTTATTCTTCCCCACTCTGTCTTATTCCCCATAGTATGTGTATGGCCATACTACCCTTGAACACACCCGATCTCTTCTGATCTTGGAAGCTAAGCAGGGTCAAGTTTGGTTTGTACTTGGATGGGAGACTGCCTGGGAATACTGGGTGCTGTAGGTGGTTTTTTTTTAAGGGGTGAGGGTGGCGCTGTGGTCTAAACCACTGAGCTTCTTGGGCTTGCCGATTGGAAGGTTGGTGGTTCAAATCCGCTCGACGGTGGTGAGCTCCCATTGCTCCATCCCAGCTCCTACCAACCTAGCAGTTCGAAAGTGCAAGTAGATAAATAGGTACCGCTGCAGCGGGAAGGTAAACGGCATTTCCGTTCACTCTGGCTCCCATCACGGTGTTCCGTTGGTTTAGTAATGCTAGCCACATGACTCAGAAAGCTGCCTGTTGACAAATGCAGGCTCCCTTGGCCTGAAGAGAGATGAGCACCACACCCCATAGTCACCTTTGACTGGACTTTACCATCCAGGGCTCCTTTACCTTTACCTCCCAAGGTGGACGATGGATGCCAGATCAGAGTAGTAGGGTGTAAAGGTGGCCCTTTTGTTGGGGGCAGTGGCTGCCTCTTCTTCCTCCTTCATAATCTTTCTTTTTCTTCCTCTGTCCTTCCATGTTTCATTGTAATCTGTGAGCAAAGTGATCACTTTTCACTAGGAATCATGGGGGTTGCTACCTCCACTGCTTGCTGTTCTTTCCTGGCCCCTAAGGTCAGCTTTTCTCCTGAGGAGCAGCAGAAGGGGTAGAGGGAATCAGCCCCCCTCTAAGCCTTCTTGAGTGCTTTGAGTTGAGTGCTTGAGGAAGCCTGATTCATTTTCGCTGTGAGCAGCCCTAAGTCTTCAGTAGTAGCAGACACCTATGCAATGTGTCTCTAGTTCTCTTTATCTATCTCTCCCATGAGTCTGATTTCTTCTCCAATCCCCTCAGTACATGAATTTCACCTCTATTGAAACCAGCTGATCCTATACACACATAACAATATATGGAAACTGTTTGCAGCCGAAAGGCAACAACACCTCTTTTCAGTGCAGTTGAATTACCTTCCAAGATATTGATGACTGGTCAAGACCGCTGGTTATGAGAATGCTGTTAGTACTTTCCTTTTTATGTCTGCTTTAATTTGAAAACTTAATTAACACATTCTGTGCTTAATTATGTGCTTACTGGGGGACTGTTGTTGCTGACTGTTGACCGTTGTAGCCAATTGCACCTATTGTATGGGATCTCCGGACTATGGAGGCTTAAACAATAGAGGTCTGCTCCAGCGTGGAGTCTCAGCAGATTCTTGATAACTGAATTGATTAAATCTCACTCTCAATCTGTTTCCATCCCTTCGCTTGTGCTCCACAAAAACTAAATACGTCGTTCTAAGCCAGGGTGCCCCAGTGGGTTCAGCTGGCAGATTTGCTTCTGCCATGGGCGGAGGAGGCTAAAGTGAACCTCTTGAGGAGCAGAAAATGGGGTGGGGAAAATGAAGAGAGGAGTTCGTGAGGGAGAGTTCTAGGGAGGGAAGATTCTTCTCTCACCATTTATCTACAAATACTTTGCTGTGGCAGCATCAAATCTATTTTTTCTGGGACGGTCGGACTAGAACGGTCGGCAGCTGCATTGTTGAAGCACCACACAGTGTCCCACATCATGGGACACAAAACCCAGACAATGAGGCTAAGAGAACAAGACTGGAATTTTCATGAGAAAAACAAATGGTTGTATCCAGTGCTGCTGTTCTGCCAGCACAACAGAACTTTTCTCCCCTTCTCTCCTCTCCCCTGCAGCCCCCCCACCTCAAAATCTGAAGGGGGCAGGTCTCCAAAGCAGATTTTGAGGGCAGGGAAGGAGGGGAAAGGAAAGGAAGTCCCTTTGTGTGAGCAGGACTCTGCATGCACAGCATCGGACACTTGAATAATAGAATAATAGAATTTTAGAATTGGAAGGGACCCCAAGGGTCATCTAGTCCAACCCGCTGCAATACAGGCGTGGCCATCCAACCTCTGCTTAAAAACTGCCAGTGTATGTGAGCTCGTACTCAGAACGTTCTTCCTAATGTTTAGTTTGAATCTCCTTTCTTGCAGTTGGACTCCTTTAGTTTGGTTCCTTCTCAGATATTGGGCATGCACAGACTATAGTAAATGGTAAATAGTACCATTCAGGGTGTATGTATTAACTGGGAATGCAAACCTCCATATAGCAATGCAACTGGATAGCACAGCAATTATAAAATGGATATCCCCATTCAGTACTGAGAAATACGCTTCACCATTTCATGTTTCCTAACTAAATAAAAAAATGGATCTCCTTCTGCAGAATGCTGTTGTGACTTTTGGACCCAACACGGACAGTGACATCTTTTAGCACCAGCTGAAGATGTTTCTGTTTTTCTGGGCATTTCAATTTTAATTCCTTCATCAACTGTTTTTATTTTATTTTATTTGGGCAATTCATTGGTTGCCATGCTTAGGTTGAGAGCAACGAGTTGGTTTTTCTTAGTTCTGGCCCCCATTAGCTTTGTTTTATTGGGTTTTTTAAAAAATTGTATCACGCGTTGGAATTTTATTTTTGCAAGTCGCTTTCAATTTCTTATGGAAGGTGACTATTTAATTAATTTAACAATTAATAATAATAAACCAGTCTGCTTGCTAGGTGAGATTGCCTGATTTCCAGTAGAACTTTAAAGAAATTAGTGAAAGATTGCTGAGTTTCTCAGAACCAAGATAAAATTACTCAAGTCCCTATGTGCATTTTAATTCCTATAAAATTACTTGGCATCTCCAGGAGTTATCTGAAACATTGGAGAGTTGCTACAAATAAACCCTCGTTCTTCAAATGGAAGCTATCCTGTCACAACCTAGAAACATGTTTTCCGAAACATTTTCAGGCGGGGCAAATCATTGCTTTAGCTGAGATGCTGCAGCCACTATTTCTACCTGGCTGCAGCCCCTCTAAATAGTATCCTAAACACACTATATATTTCACTAGGACTCCCCACCCCACCCCATATGCGTGAGTTCACTAGGGTCCAAAAATAAATGAATCAATTAATGCTACCGCATGACTCCTAGTTTCTATTTCTCAATACATTTTCATGTAATTGGGCCTATTCAATTTAATCTAGGAGACAGGCATTCCCTTAAAATTAATGCACAATGAGTGGCAGACAGGTGAGGGAATCCTGTGAAGTCCTTGAAGAAATAATATATGGCACCAAATGATTGTTTTGTTTCGCATTGAGCAGCCCCTTCTTTGGTAGGGGAAAAGAAAACCTCCCCACAACAACTCAATAGCTGCTACTTCCAGATTTTTTATTTTTTTGTGGTAATTAACCTAGATGCACTCAAGTGATGAGTACTCTCCCTAATGACTCTATTGGTTCAAAAAGGGAACATTTCCCTGTGATCTCCTCTGACAGTATCATCAGGATGTTGTCACTGCAGACAATACCCTTATCTAGCCTCTTTTCAAGTCACCTGATTAACTGGAGAAAATAGAAAACAGAAAGAAAAGAACATGTCCTTGTACTTAGACTGTAAATGTCATGGAAAGGCCAAGGGACCAGTTCCACCTTTCCTTGGCTTCTTACCTCTGATCCTGAAGAGTTACCTTTCTGGGAAGCTTGATTCCTCAGCTCCACTGCTGCGCACAAAGTGCATCCTCACTCTTCTCAATATATGTCCTTGCCATAGGTGGAACAACAGATATGTGGACAGGAAAGGAAACCAACCCAGAACTTCCCCTCCCATTTAGAACCATATAGGCTCATAATTCAAAAGCACAATGTTAATTGGATTTCATTTACTGTAAAGGTTTTTAAAAAGGTAAAGGACCCCTGGACAGATGAAGTCCAGTCAAAGGCGACTATGGGGTTGCAGCGCTAAAGTGCAATAACAGAGCATATCTGCTGCATAAATAACTTTTCTTGGCATATATAATACAGTAGATTTTCACACTTACAGCTTTACAAAGCATAACCTATTGGACAATCCAAACTTCAAATAACACAGCAAGGCATAGGCTGGAGCCTGTGGGAAACTGAAGACTACAATCATGTCATTTCAAAATGTCATATACTGAATCTTGGGGAGCACTTTGGAATGAGCTTTTAATCCCAAGTGTCAACAGAGCTACTTTTTGCTCCCCAAGACATTGCCTCCTTTTAGTTACTGTAGCTTTTTATTGAAATAATAGCCCAAATTTTCAAGAGAGAAATGACACCTTTGTGCCTGCTCTTGCTTAGGAAAGTTTATGTATTTCATGCACACAATTCCCATCTTTTGTTCCCCTCGATTCTTCCTCTGCTGTCTCCCCTGCTGTCAAAATTTAGATTGCAAGCTCCTTAGGGTGGGAACCTGGTGGTTGTGGTTGTTGTTTTTTTGTTTTTGTTTTGCTTATGTTATCCAGTAAAGTGCCATATACATTGACAGTGATCTATTAACGATGTGATTATTTAAGCGTATAGACGGGGATAAAAAGTGTGTTGTGCTGCTGCACAAAACAGCACTTTTCTGAATGTTGTACACCGTTTCGGAGGACACATCATGTGTTGGAACCACGTGATCCTAAAATGAGGGTGCGTCTAATGGGGTACACGCCAGATGTTGTTGAAATCCAACCGTCAACAGTCCCATGGCCAATGGGCAAAGGTAGCTGTAATCCAGTAATTTATGGTTACCCCTGTTGATCCATCCATCCACCTGCACATGCATAGCACACAGCTTGATCCTATTATTTTACTCAGGGGTAGCTAAGGTGGTTCCCTCTAGATCAGCGGTTCTCAACCTGTGGGTCCCCAGATGTTGTTGGACTACAATTCCCATCATCCCTGAGCTCTGGCTTTGCTAGCTAGGGGTGATGGGACCCACGGGTTGAGAAAGGCCGCTCTAAATGTTTCTGGACTTCAGTTCTCACCAGCCCCACCCAGACAACTGAGGGAGTTGTAGTCTACACTACATTGGCTATCCTTGGTATTACTACTGCTTGCACCGTCAGCTTGTCACTATCCTGTCCTCATTCAAGGCACATGCACATGCACATGCACATGACACTCTGCTATACATTCAGTGTCCACGTGAGGGAGGAGCAGGTCTTCACGCCACATTCTGAGTGGCCACATGTTCGGTGTTAGTGTGAATGGCTGTTGGGCACATGCAGCTGTGACTGGGCCAATTGTGGTACATGCACGTCCATGTACATTTTTCTACATCACATTTCCCCCCCAATTTAAAAACAACAACATTGGAAGAATCTGGTAGCTACTGTGAAGATAACGTATATTTAGGAAAAGAATTTATATACAGTGGTACCTTGGGTTACATACGCTTCAGGTTACATACACTTCAGGTTACAGACTCCACTAACCCAGAAATAGTGCTTCAGGTTAAGAACTTTGCTTCAGGATGAGAACAGAAATCGGGCTCCGGTGGCGCAGCGGCAGCAGGCCCCATTAGCTAAAGTGGTGCTTCAGGTTAAGAACAGTTTCAGGTTAAGTATGGACCTCCGGAATGAATTAAGTACTTAACCTGAGGTACCACTGTAAATTGGGTAACACAAATTTTCATCATTGGTGATGATACAATGTTTGATTTTCAAATTAGTTGTCATGAGAGGCATCTGTTCCATTGGCCTTCTTTCTTTAGATGCTGAATAGATAGAGTATGTGTACTGACTGATAGCTGGTCATAGGGTGTCAAGAGGCTATCTGCTCTCTAGATTTTGGTTTAATGCATGAAGGCAACTCAAGTTTCTGGGATCTGAAACTTGAAACAGGGTAGACAGACAGACACGATACCTGAAATGGAAAGAACAAATCCCCTTGAAATGCAACTTACAGTTTTATCTCTCTTTACTCCCCAGGTTGTTCTTTTTAGCCAAGATTTGTATAGTCACCTGGCAGTGGCATAATCTCTTCCCACAGATTTTTTTAAAACACATTTAATAGCTACTTTATATGCATCTTTTCTATGCTGTTGCCACTTCAGATTCTCTGGAGTTTCAAATTCCTTGTTCAGAATTTAAATTAGATATTAATTCTAATGGTAAGAAGTGTGATCTCCTAAAATGCCATGGAAGAGTATCTATAGAGCTGCATCATAGGAGGCACAAAACATAAACATGAATTATTATATCAAAGCAGGTAATTCATCATAAATGTTCTACTGATATGGCGTACCTGGACTGTTTCCATGCAAAGTGGCTGGGTCCTGTTTCTATATATATATATATATATATATACACACACACACAGAGAGAGAGAGAGAGATTCAGTTTTCTATTGATTAATGTCAGTCATAACTGGTTCAGATATATAAGTATAATTGATTAAAAACAGATTTTACGATAGACCGATAAACAAGTGCCGCATAAAAATACTTTCAAAGACGCTATAGCAGAATTTATACATTTAAAAAGTGAATCATTGCCTTAAGGATATTTCCTTTTTATATTTTGACAAGTCTCACCAGTTTTTTGCTTTTGTTCCCCCCACCCCACCCCCAACTTGGCTTAAAACATTCATTGTCTAATTATAAAAACAGAAAGTTGTATCCTTGAAAAGCCTAAGCTTGCGAAGGAGTTTGGGTTTTTCGCAGGTAATATTATGACCAGTTTCATCACAGTGGAGATCACCATGAGAAGCATTGTTTTCACTCAAAACAGGTTCAATCACATGACTCGCCACCCTCATGCATGTGCCCTGGAAGTGCATGGATGACCATAATATGTTGGCCATCATACCCCTAGTTACAGCTGCAGCTTGCAAGCAGTCAGATCCCTGGTCAGCTTGGCTGCTTTACAAGCCATTTGCTCACAAGAAGCACTGCCAGGAAGGATGCTGTGATGGCATCCAAGGATGTGCTGAGCCTCAGAATGATGTCCTGAAGTACATCCTTGAGAGGTGTTGTGGACTGGCTCAAAGAGCCAATTCATGGAACCTGTTCAATCCAACAACATGAAGGGTGTTGTCCAAGCCGGTTGTATATCTCTGTTTTCTACCCGAATCCCCTTAATGGCATGTTTTTCTTCATGGTTTATAACTCCATGGTTAAAATATTTTTAAAAAATCCTTGTAATAATAATAATAATTTATTATTTGTACCCCGCCCATCTGGCTGGGTTTCCCCAGCCACTCTGGGCGGCTTCCACAAGACCAAAAATACACTAATATGTCATACATTTAAAACTTCCCTGAACAGGGCTGCCTTAAGATGTTTTCTGAATGTCAGGTAGTTGTTTATCTCTTTGACATCTGATGGGAGGGCGTTCCACAGGGCGGGCGCCACTACCGAGAAGGCCCTTTGCCTGGTTCCCTGTAACCTTGCAGTGAGGGAACCGCCAGAAGGCCCTCGGCGCTGGACCTCAGCGTCCGGGCAAAACAATGGGGGTGGAGACACTCCTTCAGGTATACTGGGCCGAGGCCGTTTAGGGCTTTAAAGGTCCTTTGTAATGAAAAGCTGTGCACAAACTGCAGTTCTAGATTTATTCTTCACTGTTCTTCCTTTCTGCCAAGGGACCAGTGGTGGTAGACAATTTTAAAATACTAAAACAGGGCACATAAGACAACAGATTTCTCTCAGGCTGAAAGAGGATCACTTCAGTAGCAGGTGGCTTATGCTCCCTGGCCAGGGCTTCTGATTGTCCCCAAGGAAGGCGATTCCTAAATAGCCTCATGGAAGGTGAGGGTTGGCCTAGCCCAACAGTTCTTTCAGGCTTCTGGAGTTTATGACCATGGCTTCACTTATTAAGATTGACTTGTTTGGTCTGCATATGCTGTCTCTTGTGCCGCATTTAGATTGGCAGCTATACAGTTGGACAAATAGAATTGCACACAAAACTAGATCTAAAAGTCTTTGTCAAATAAATACATTCCTCTGCTACCGATAACGCATCAGTGCTGGTGTCAGGCAAGTCTTGCTTTGGGAACGCAGTGCCAGGGCTGCGGGAGCATCCAAAAGCCCTTGCGCCACTTTCTCAAAATCAGACAGGCTTCGGAAAGGTGCTCCTAGTCCATGGGCAAAGGTGTTTGCACAGAAGGGGCCCAGAACAAGGCTTGGGTGGCTTAAGGTGGTTCTGGGGATTGTGCAAAAAACACATAAGTATCTCTTTTCTTGGGCATGCTAACACGGAAGAGAGAGAGAGAGAGAGAGAGAGAGAGAGAGTTCATAGCTGTCAACTTTTCCCTTTTCTTGCGAGGAATCCTTTTCGGAATAAGGGAATTTCCCTTAAAAATTCGGGGTGTCCTGGTTTTTACTTTTTGAAATATGGCAAGCCTACCTTACACCAAGTCACAGCATTGTCATGCCTGATTAGTTTTTACTGTATGTCCTCAAACTGAACCCAGAGGAATTCAGAAATCTCATAGGTTGTGAACATAAAATGCACTGAATAATACCAGTCTAGGGAATGGAATGAATATTTCAGAGACTTCTTCATGTTTTGTTTTGTTTTCCATTGTGGCATGATGTTTGGAGGTGGAATACAACATTAAGTAGGTAGATTGCTAGCAAGGGAATTATTTGCATTCACTCTACATTCTTTTTTCATCATTACTATTTGAAAACTATAGGGTATATCTGGGCACTTCAGACAGAATGGAAAAGCTGAGCAGGCTCATTCCTTTATGTATCTTATACATGCTTATAGTGTTTGGGTGGGGTGGTAAAGAATAATTATTTACTGAATTTTTCAAAGGGTCCTGTATTTCAGTAGCTCCTGTTCTAAAACAATCTGTCATTTTTTTAAAATGGAGGCCGTCATTGTCTGCCATATCATAAATTAAAAATACATTTTTCAAAAAAAAACTGAGGGGAGCACAACTTGGCATAGGTGGGTGAGGTGCACCCATTTCCCCCACCCTGGGTACCCTTGGAAGTGGTCTTTTTAAACATACACCTGAACTTTTTGTGTAGAGGGATTTGTGGAAAATAACTTCTGGGAAGTACTTGATCTCAGATTAACCCACCACAGGAAAGATGCATCCTGGTTGCTAGAGTAAACAGCACTGAAGGCGAAGGGACCCTCCCCTTCAGGGATTTATGTTGCCTGGTATCCAAACAATTCATTGCTATGACTTCACTCATTAGCTAAAAGCACTAAAATGCAGGAGCAGACAGGCAAGTTCATCTCACAGAAATCACTTTGAAGGTTACTTGCACATTTTGCTTCATAACTTTCTAGGTGGGCTAGATACGTGATTTTGTTTTGTTTTGTTTTGTTTGTTTTAAAAAGGAAGCTCAAAGTCTATGGCCCCTATTGTCTGTGGGCCCAGTACATCAGTACTCATTGTAGCTGCCTCTCGTGGCCTTGAGTTCTGAGTCTACCAGACTGTACCCTTGTCCTTATTCAAGCTGGGTATGCTTCTGCCTGTTTGCAATCGCAATCACAGATGAGAATCCTTACATGCATAGATTGAGAAGGATGTCGAATATCCTCCCATTCCCCTTTGTGAATTTGGATATTGTGGGGTGGTTAAAGAGCCCTAAGAGGTAACTACTCCACATTAAATTATCTCATGTAAATGTCCTGATACAGTAGCCAAAAGGGGAGGAAATGAGGGGTCAACCACCAGCAGCATTGCAAGGTTGAAGGTGAAATGGGGAGCATCTGTCTTCACATTCTGTTTGAGGGTGTTCCCCTCCCTGAAATGGCAATGTGTCTTCAGCATATTGATTCTGTGACCCTCTTTAACTATCTGAACTCTCTATTGGAAAGAACCAAATTTAATCTCAATCTGTTTCTAGGATATGTATTATTTTGTGTTCCCCTGAGAACAGGAAAGACAAACGGTGTGATAATTGCAGATCATGCAGAGGAAGAAGCTGCAGAGAAGTAAAAAGAAAAGAAAACGAAATGGAGTGTTGCACAGTGGTTTGCCTTTCAGGGATACCCGAGGTAATGAATGGCAGAAGAACTCCTCACATGTAATTGAAAAACTGCAAAAATAACATTGTAGAATTCATTCCTGCTATTTATTTTTAAAATGCAGCATTTAGACCAGCACAGATCACATCAGACCTATTAGGAAGGAGCAATCTTTTTCTTCTTCTTTTTGGTCCAGAGGTGTGAAATGTAACTAATACGAAAGCAGAATTAAGTGGTCGCTCATTTGGAAGGCATAATTTGAATCAGAACTTACTAAGGATCAGGTGCAAAACCTATTTTAACAGAGAACACATGTGAAGCAATTGTAGGGTGTCTGCATTAACAACACAACTGTGTTTTTTCACAGGTGGACACTGTGAATACCATAATTATTTTCATCTAGAATTTTCTGCCTTTCGTTTCCTCATGATCTTACTGTTTACATTTCCCACCATAATATGTTCCTTTAACTCAGGCTAACATAAATCTGGTGAACTGCACTGTAGTCCGCAAAAGTGTATGTCCTAATAAATTTGTCAGTCTTTATGGTGCCAAAAGACACCCAATGTGAAGTGCAGTTAATGCTTCTGAGCATGTCTAAAGTGCAGTTGTCTCACCACTGAATAATCACTGCCACTCCCAACCATCTGGGATTAGAAAGTACTACTTCTTGGTCCAGATCAGAATCCAGGTTTGAAGATACCCTGGGCAAAATGACTTCTTATAGGTCCCCTCTTATGTTGATGACCATCCCCTAAGACATGCCTGATAGTGGCATCACTACTCCAAGAGTGACTGGGATATGCCATTTTAATTAACCACGAAGCTCTGTAGCACCCAATGTTGTGTCAAACCAAGGCACTGTGGGTAAGGGCATGGTCTGAACATACACAATGCAAACACAAAGTATCATGTGTTTTTTATATTCTGTTGGAAGCTGCCCAGAGTGGCTGGGACAACCCAGTCCGATGGCTGGGGTACAAGTAATAAATTATTACAATTATTATTATAAACAGCTTGCTGGAGCTAAGCAGGTTCATGCCTGGATGGCAGACTATGGATGGGGACTCCATGTAAGGTGCTTTGTATTCCATGATGGGGGGGCGGGGAGAAAGGTGGGAAATAAGAAGAAAGACACATTGAGTTCCTCAGAAAGCAGCTTGGGTATTTAAAATTGGTGGGGTATAAGTATTTAATATAAAATGTTAAGAAGTAATACGTAAAAATGGTAGCAAATTAAAATGGAGAGTCACTGATCCAGCTGCCCAATGTGGAGGGCCTAGGAAAGGTGCCAATAGTTGTCTTAAAATGGTGAATGGAAAGAATCATCCATAAAACTTTACTATGTTCTTGTGTTTGCCATGGGTTCCTGCAACCTTAGCAAGACAATGGAGAAGCTGCCTTCAATAACGTCAACATCATGACTCTCAACCACGTCTGTCTTTAGGGAAGGGCTGCTGCTCGGCGTTAAGAGCGGGTGCTTTGCATGCAGAAGGTCTGAGGTTTAATCCTCTGCATCTACAGGAAGGGCTTGGAAAGACCCTTGGAGAATTGCACCAGTCAGTAGACAATACTGAGCTAAAATGGGCAAATGGTGTGAGTATAAGGCAGCTTCTGATGTCTCTAAAAATAATGAGAATTCACAGGTCCCTTTGTGGCAAAGCACAGATTTTCCACATGTATTTTAGGTACCAAGTCTGCACAGATCCTATGGACAGAACCGTACTGTTTTCCCAAAAGGCCAGCAAAAGGATTCCCAAGCCTTTTAGGTTGAAATCCTATGCGTGCTTTCTTAACCGAGGAGTACACCACACTGAAATTAATGGGATTTGCTATATTAGACTCTAGCCTCTAACATATGCTACTACACCAAATCAGTATTTCTGCGACAGCCTGAGCGTGCTTCTCAAATACTACTGAGAAATAAAAAAAGATTAGCGTAGTAAAACAATTTTCATTCTAATCCAATGTAAATAAAATAATGTTTCTCAAAATGATAGGTCCTCGAGGGACATGATATAAACTGGTAAAGGAAAAATGAGTATTGGTTTAATTGGCTTTTTAATGATCTCCTGTTTCTTCTTTTTGATATCAAAATCCGAATGGAAAGGTTCATCTAACTATACATTTAAGGCTTTTAAAGGCTCCATTACAAGACTTATTATGCTAAAAGAAACATACCTGGCATGCTGCAAGTTTCTAAATGTATCACTGATGCATGTAATGATTCACTTAAACCATCATGGTCAGAATTCTTTTGCATTATTTCCATGTAAATTGGATGCTTTCACAATTACTATAATATGTGTGAAATTCCACTTATTATTTCTTTTAACATGAAACTTTTATCACTTAACTTAAACTCACTGGACAGAATATTTGAACCATTTGCAATCATTAGAGCATTTTTGTTTGGTCAAAACCCTTCTGGGATTATATTTTTGTGGTGGGGGGAGGGGTAGAGATAGGGAGAAGTAGAATGAATTACATTTTATGTAATGGAATGGCAATTTTAAATATATGAAAGGGCATCTGGAGTACTAGTCATTATACACAGATCCCGTGTTATACTTTTTATCTATTGTGGACTTGTTCCATCTTTCTCTCTCTCTCGTCTTCAAGAGCTTTACTTTGAGCATGTAACACAATAAAAAAAGATGAAATTTAGTCAGTAGGTGATCTAGCAGGCTAGCCTCTCATGCTTTCAGTTTCTAGAAGACAATCCAAGCTCTCCCACAAGCCAACCCTATGCTCTGTTGTAAGGACATAGATTCCAAATGTAGAGTCTCAGGGAGCTGGTCCAAATGGACCTCTCACCTTGTCACCTCATTACTGGGCGACAACAATGATGATTTCCCCATGCTTTGGCACAAGGTCCCAGGCCAGGTCACAGCAATTTAAAATATAACATGAAAGACAGTTTAAAACAAATTACACAGCTTAGTCTTGTGCCCTGGGCTGACATAGTAGCAACCTCTGGTATCCCTTCCTTGGTACTCTAGGGTAAAAGGTAAAGGGACCCCTGACCATTAGGTCCAGTCGTGGCCAACTCTGGGGTTGCGGCGCTCATCTCGCTTTATTGGCCGAGGGAGCCGGCGTACAGCTTCCGGGTCATGTGGCCAGCATGACTAAGCCGCTTCTGGTGAACCAGAGCAGCACACAGAAATCGCGTTTACCTTCCCGCCGGAGCAGTACCTATTTATCTACTTGCACTTTGACGTGCTTCCGAACTTCTAGGTTGGCAGGCGCAGGGACTGAGCAACAGGAGCTCACCCCGTTGCGGGGATTTGAACTGCCGACCTTCTGATTGGCAAGCCCTAGGCTCTGTGGTTTAACCCACAGCGCCACCCGCGTCCCGTACTCTAGGGTAGTGGTTATCAAACTTTCTACCCTTTGAAGGCTACAGGGAACTCAGTTCATATGGACCTTACAAGCTGAGAAATCCCACCATTTATTCCACAGAAATTCTAAATGTTGACATAGATACTTGGGCATCTTTCATATTGGTTCCCATGCATACTGACTGGGCATGACAGAAAGGTGCCCTCAGCCACCCCCAACCTACCTGTCTTCTATCCAATCCAGGGGGTGGCACTGGTTGTTAGCTTGTCCTCCTTGCTCTCAATGTTGCGTTTGTTGACCTTAGCAGGGAGGAAATTGGGGACAAAAGTAGAATTAGTTGGCTCCGCCTGCCATTGGCTCTGGCTCCACCTACTCTTTGGGCTCCCTGCCTTCCACCTTACCAGCCTCAACAAGTGATGCACATCAGCACGAATCAGCATTTTACAGCAACAGAATCGCAAGGGAGGGGCTTTATCAGGTAATCTCATGCAGAGCAGGTACAGGGGATAGTAATTGGCAGTGAGCACCAAAGCTCTGAATTTGACTTATGCTCATATGATGCAGCTTAAAATGTGATGCATTGGCCATCTCCTGAAGTGTCTTAACATAACCAGTCTGCTTGCCTGTCTATGATCAAGAATATAATAGCACTTATTAAGATTAAATTTAAGATAATGAGAGTTCTAATTACTTACATTTTTTATGGTTGATATTTTCCCTCAACAAATACTACCGGTAATGAATGGCATCAATTAATTATCTAATGTTAGTATAAAATATCGTAGGAGCTTAATTCTGAACTCGTTTCAAGTGAAACTTCCAGATATTTAAAAACCTTGAGAGGTAGTCCTGAGAAACGCTACATGCCACTACTTGCAGAGGGTTCTATTCAACAGGCATTTTCAGGACTGATAGTTGTTCATATAGCAGTATGGGCACATTTACATTTATTTAGAATTTGAATATCATGAACCAGAATTTTTGAAAGTGCAGTACCTGTCCCTGCGTTTCTTTGCTACTGATTCTAATGAGCATAACTTTTGGAATTCAAGCTATCTGTCACAGCATGGCCAGCGCACAGAAAGGATGAAGACAAATGTAACAAGTATTAGAACAGTGTGACCACCCTGAAAAAAAATATTCTGTTCAGACATACATTTTCTCTTAAGAAATGAACTTGTGGGTGGTGAGCAGTTCTGCAAATTTGCAGTAAAAGCCAGTTGTGCAAGAGAATGATTAGCACTAGTCTCATGATGACATCTCCATCTCTGTGACAATTTTGCACTTTGGGGTTTTTTTAAAAAAAAAACCCTCTAATCAGCAAAGTGATGTAAATGGATGCATATGTATAAACATTCATGTACTTTTTCTAAAACAACAGAAAAGGATACACCATCCACTTGAAGCATGGCGGGGAGTGGGGGGGAGGACAAACAACAATGGCTGTGCCAGTTTTTGATAGGATGATCATTTCATTATCTATGCCAGGAGAAAACTGAGCTCACCTCACAGCAGACATTATCTGAGCTCTATTACACGTGTCTTCACCCTAAAATTACACAACCTCCTCATATCAGCTGTTTCATCATCAGAGGACTTCTGGTGCCCAGCAAACCAAAAGCAGACATTTCACTCAGACTTATGATAGTTCAGTTTAGCCCGTGACAAGTCCTGGCATTATGGAGGTTGGGTGGCCATCTGCCATGGATGCTTTAGCTGAGATTTCTGCATCGTCTCAAGTAGCACACTAATAGAGAGCATGATGCGACTGTTCACCTGACTTCCACTTGGTTGCATTGCTTCTGCTGCTTACCGGGAGGTAGAGGAGGTATTGGAAGATGGCAGGGAGATTCATGTGCTACAAAAATACCAGCAGAGTGCCAGATTGGCTCAGCTGGCACATTTGCATACATACAGAGCCACCTCACTGCACCCCTCTGTCTACCAGTATGCGGCAGCAATGTGAGCAACAGGAGGTCAGGTGGCCAGTACGGTTCCGAGCACAATTTGAAGTGTTGGTGCTGACCTTTAAAGCCCTAAACAGCCTCGGCCCAGTATACTTGAAGGAGCATCTCCACCCCCCATTGTTCAACCCAGACACTGAGGTCCACCTCCAAGGGCCTTGTGGCAGTTCCCTCACTGTGAGAAGTGAGGTTACAGGGAACCAGGCAGAGGGCCTTCTCGGTAGTGGCACCCATCCTGTGGAACGCGCTCCCATCAGATGTCAAGGAAATAAACAACTACAGTCATAAGGTAAAGGTAAAGGGACCCCTGAACATTAGGTCCAGTCGCGGCCGACTCTGGGGTTGCGGCGCTCATCTCGCTTTATTGGCCAAGGGAACCGGCGTACAGCTTCCGGGTCATGTGGTCAGCTCTGGCAAACCAGAGCAGCGCAGGGAAACGCCGTTTACCTTCCCACTGGAGTGGTACCTATTTATCTACTTGCACTTTGACGTGCTTTCGAACTGCTAGGTTGGCAGGAGTAGGGACCGAGCAATGGGAGCTCACCCCGTCGTGGGGATTTGAACCGTTGACCTTCTGATCGGCAAGCCATAGGCTCTGTGGTTTAACCCACAGCGCCACCCACGTCCCTAACTACAGTCATACCTCAGGATACATACACTTCAGGATAAGTATTTTCAGGTTGTGCTCTGCGGCGACCCGGAAGTAACAGGGCGCGTTACTTCTGGGTTTCGCTGCTCGCGCATGTACAGATGCTCAAAATGACATCACGTGCATGCGCAGAAGCGGCGAAACGAGACCCGCACATGCACAGACACGCAGTCACGTCTTACGTTCTGTACAGGATGTGAACGGGGCTCCGGAACGGATCCCGTTCGCATCCCGAGGTACCACTGTATCTGACTTTTAGAAGACATCTGAAGGCAGCTCTGTACTGGGAAGTTTTTAATGTTTGATGTTTTATTGTGTTTTTAATATTCTGTTAGGAGCCGTCCAGAGTGGCTGGGGAAACCCAGCCGGATGCATGGGGTACAAACAAACAAACAAACAAACAAACAAACAAACTGTTGTTGTTGTTTTCCCACCATGCCATTCACCACTGAAGCATCACATTTGTGATTGAAGTGGAACAAGCTATAAATTATTTAGTGGGACCCCGCAACCACTATAGGATGCTTTTTTTCATGCATCACCATGTCTCGGGTTGTCACCATCTTTTATACATGAAGAACTGCCTTGAAAGTTTTTAAAGGTTTCAGCTGACCTACAGGAAGCAAAAATATGTTGTGCATTCTATGGCCTGATACAAACTGGGAATTGTAAGGTTGCCACAATATATTACTGTATTGTACAGTGTGCAACCTCGTTGGGGTTGCCATAATGTAGGAATTGCATGGTTGCTCCATGAGACAGCACTCTCTCCACAAACAAATTTTAATAGTTATGTGCTGTAGATTTAAAGTTTAGAATGCTGAAATAAAACTTAGGCTCATACCTGATGGATGGAAGCTCATAACTAAAGGTGGCTAGGTGTTGTCTTTCTGCGTGAGAGGTCCACTTTGGGCGAGAAGAAAGGGGGAACACAAGGAGACTTGGTTTATTTATTTTTAAATGCTCTGTGCAGCCACGTCTAATCTTGCCCCCTTCTAAAATTTAATTATTGGTATGTGGTGTTCTTTCTTTAATCTACCAAAATATAAAATAAAATCATGATTAAGGGGTTATCTCAGGGAGGAGGAGGACATGTATGCTGTGTCCCATTGGTGTAGTGCTGGTGGCACTTGCCCTACATCTGATAGGAAATGCTCGGGGGGGGGCATGCACAAAAGAATGGTTTGAGGAGGCTCAGTTTGTCCCTATTTTCATCTGAAGCATGTTGGATAATGGACCCTTGACGGATCCATTATCCTCCATTAACTTGCGTATGGGGGGAAATGGCTGGTGCGGGAAGTAGCCCACTCTTACCCTGAACCCTTGGGGTAACAGAATTAACTTACATGGGGGAAAGGAAAGCAATGGTTGGTGGGGGGGAATCTCACCCATCCCCAGCAAGGACTCTTTTACTTCCACCAGCACAAAAGGGGCACCAGCCACCAGTCAGCTTAAGGATGGAGACACCCTATGGGAAAGTTGGGATTGTAATCTAAGAACCACTAGCCTTCCCTTCTGATGTTGGTGTCATTGTTCCCATGCTGTTCTCCTCTGCTTATACTATTCCCATGGCTTCTTCTTTCTTATGTTATTAGAGTGATATGAGATGGATCCACAAGGGAGCAGCAACCACATCACTACTGCTGCACAAGAATCCTGCCAGAGTCTTTCTCGGTTGAATGTGAGCTGGCTGTGTGCGGTAGATTTAAGCTTGAGAAGGCAGAAAGAAAACTGGGGAAAGTGTTGAGTAATGCTGCGCAGGATAAACTTCAGGCAGGTTCAACACTTTAATAAGAATTGAATGAGGAGCCCTTGCAAAGGAGCACTTGCAATGCGCGCCGGTAATTTAAATGAGAGCGTTGTAGGGTTTATATAAGCAATGCTTATATGTAAAAATAATCGTAAAAAGTGCATTGTGTAAAATCTAGCACAAAACTACGGGAAGAATAATCATTTGAGTAGTGTAGGTAACATAAACTATTGTTAATGTACAGTAGCTGGAAAAGCATAGAGAATGCCACGTACTGTATAGTGGTCCTCAGTGGTGTAAGGTATTCTCACAATAAATTGTTCAATAGAAGTGAGTGTATGCTAATTTTACAGACTGTATAGGACTCACAATAGAGTGAGAATTTTTCTGCACAAAATATAAGAACAAAACCAGGAAGGTGACCTCACTCAATTGGAATAGTAGAATGAATTACATTATGATTTTAAAACTGATAATAGACTCCTAGCTAAACTGGTAAAAAATTTCCTTGCATGTATTTATTTCTAACCACCCCCCCTCCACACCGCCCAAGTGTAATTTCAAAGCCCTCCTATAGTTAACATTATAATATAGTTAGTTGCTACAAATAATCTGCAGTGATTATAGGAAAACTGTCAGTGTCTGTTCAAGGTCTGAAAAGGCTGCAGCAAATAGCTTTTCTCTTTGCCATGGAGACTGGGGTCTGTTTTTACGGTTACTCTGGTAACGAAAGCCTTTCTGGTGTTAGGCCTTTTCAGTTACTTCAGCTATTAAACCCTCCGGTTGAGACAAAAGCAAGGCGGTGTACAGACACTTC